TTGAACCACCAGCCTTCTGGTTAGCAGTCAAGTGCCTTAGCCACTATGCTACCAGAGCCAAACAATAGACAGGTGTATAAGGTGAACATTGACACCAGGTAGGTACGCTCCTTAGAACAATGAACCATGGGAGATCAGAAGGACAGTATAGCTTAGATGGCAGGAATGCATTTGAAAGGACACAGGGAAAGGGTAACCAGAAGGAGGAAATGTGAAGACAGTTGTTACATTATGCGGATTGCAGTCAATGTGATGACACGAAATGTGAATGAACTGCTGTATGGAAAATGAATTTGCTCTGTAAACTTTCACCCAAATCACAATTAAGGGGAAAAAAAAAAAAAATCCTGACACCCCTATCACATATCATACCAACTAAACCACAAGTGGACAAGGGGTAAGTGTCAGTATTTTTACAGTATCTCCAGGTCATTCAAATATGCAGCAAAGTTACTGAACTCTCCTCCTCCAGAGCAAGAAAGAGTAAAGAAAATCAAGGATACAAGGAAACTGTTAGTTCAAATGACTAATGCACTATGCAAACCCCAACCTTCAATGACCCTGAGGCTAGAAGAACTAGATGATACCTAGCTACCACTGCTGACCACTCTGAAAGTCTGAAAGGGATCACTATAGGAGGTACTAGACAGAGTGGGAGAAAATTGTGAATAAAACTCAAAATCATTAAAAAAAAAAAAAAAAAAAGACCATGCTTACTGGTCTAATAGAGATTGGTGGAACCTCTGAGACTATGGTCATTAGATACCCTTCAAGCCTAGAAATTAAATCATCCCTATAGCTCAACTTTCAGCCAAACAACTGACAAGTCCATAAGGTGAAACAGTAACACCAGAGAGGTAAGTGCTTCTTAAAACAATCAACTACATGAGATCAAAAGGGCAGCATTTGCCCAGGGATAAAGCTCAGAAGGCAGGAAAGGATAAGAAAGAAAGACAAATGGAAATGGTAAACACAAGGAGGAAGTGGGAAGAGTGCTGTTATATTGTGGGGATTTCAATCAATGTCACAAAACGTGTATGAATTGTGAACAGAAAACCAATTTGCTCCATAAACTTTCACCCAAATCAAGTAAAGTGTTTTTTTTTTAAAAATGTAACAAAATTTGAAAACCACATGTATTTGTATAAGCACAAACCCTCACAAGCACAAAATAAAAGGTTTTTGGTTTTCACATAAATGGACTTGCTTCTATCAGTTTACACATCTTGCGTGCCCTTCCAATCACTTATTTAACCATTTATTCCTCATTACTTTTCTACCAGGAATGGAATAAGATGTTCTCTCTTGGTTAAGAGACGATCTCATACTTTACCTTCCAAGAGAGGGGAATGTATGTATATGTGTGTGGGTAACATCATCTAATCGCATACTACTTTAATAGTTTCTCCTTTTTAACCTACAGATTGGGAAAAAATATTTGGTAATAACATATCTGACAAGGGACTTATCTCTAGAATTTATAGAACACTCCAACACCTCAATAACAAAA